GTGCATGTGCATTGCTGTTGAATTCACTTGTGTGCCTTTTTTTTGTAAATACATGGTCTCGTACAGCCTCTCAAAAAAAAGAAGTTTGAACCCAGAGACAGACATGCATAGAGGGATGACGGTATAGACACACAGGGAGAATCTTCCTCTGAAGACAGAGGATCAAGGCATAAGCCAAGCTCAAGGTCACCATAAACTAGGTGGAGACAAGAAATAATTCCTCCGTGGATTTCAGAGGAAACATGATCCTGCTAACACAGTGATTTCAATTTTCTGAACTCCAGAATTGTGACACTACATTTCTGTTTTTCTTTTTCTTTTATAAGTTTTTCTTTTTTTCCCCCAGTTTGCTAGAGGGCACATGTGTTTGCCAGAGAGAGACAGAGAGAGAAAGAGAGAAAGCACCCCCTCATAGGGAATGGTCACACAACGATCCCTTCTCTTTCATTCTCTTCTCAGGATTTTGAGGACAGGCACACATGTGCCTGGCATGATTTTCAAGCCACTGGGTCTGCGAACCATGGCTGGCCATGTGGGAGTCTGGCACTTTAACTACCATGCCACCTGCTGGCCCTGTACTAGGTATCTCTTAAAGGGAGGCACTTTGTCAATTTTGTGTAATCACAGAAACATTCCATTTCTATTTCTTCTGAATATAGCTTCACAGTATCAACATGTAGCAAATTTCTCATAGGTGTCACATTGAAAGAGGGCTTTTAAAATACAGTCAAAAAAGGTTCAGGGATTGGATGGTGGCACAGAAGTAAAACAATATTCTTCAAGGTTGACTCATGTGGGAAAGTTCGGGATTCATGACCTAGACCTCCCTGAGTGTAAGAGGCATGTACGTGTCCATGCTAAGGGGCTGGCTGAAGCTGGACGTGGACTGTGGTATCAAGATGATGTTGGGGATTCTGTCCTTCTCTGTTTCCTCTCACTCATGGAAGAATAAACTTTTAGAGATTTGTTTATCAGTTAATGGGCTTTCTATATTTTTTTATAGGACAGTTCAGCAAAATAAGTGCCTCTGATGGTTTTTGATTTGGCAGCAATGGAACCTCTTAGTATTCATTTCTTCAGCAATTGTTATGTGTACTGAGTGCTTTCAATGTACCCAGTTTGTGTCCGAAGTGAGAGATAAACAATCACAAAACAGGCATTTTTATTTCCTCTTAAAGTGTAGTTGAATTTTCTAGAGAAGGTCTTACAGAAAAAGTTCCTGGTGGATTTGTTATAAAAAGAAGAACTAATATTTATATTTTATGTCTCCTTTTATTAGCTCTAGCAATAAAATAGTGTCCAAGTCACCTTGTCACTTAGTCTCTGGGAGAATAAGTTATGTTCCTAACTCAGAGTGGAAAAAAAAATGTCACAGTAGCACTATTCTATTGAAACTTTCATTCATTTCCTTTCTGAAGAATGTTCTTCATGCTTCTGTGGGAGTTAAGTTCACATAATTCTTTTTAATACATCCTCCTTGCAGGCAAGCAGTCTTACCAGAAGACTAAACACCAAGGTTTCATGGTGCCACAGTTTCCTGTGTAGCTGTACCCAAGATCACTTTGGTCTGTGGTGGTGGTTTTGGCAGTGAAGCCTATGCCATGGTGATGAATGTGAGATGCTGTGAATAACATGTCACATAAGATGAGTTTTCATGGTTTCCCCAAGTACCGAACAGTACAGAAGTAGTTATACATGGTGTCTTACTACCATAAGCAGTCCTGATAAGATAGGAATATTAATTTCAACTTTGACTTTATACTCGAAACTACTTCTGGCAATCATAAGTAGAAGGAGATACAGTTTTAATTAAGCTATTATCAGGGAAGACATGTCGATCAATGGCAAAAAACCGAAATATTGGGAATCCTGGATTTTGGTCTAGTCTTGGCTTTGTAAGAAAATAGATGGACATGAGGAAACTCACTTCATTTTTTTTTTCCATCTGTTTAATCGCCTGACATGTAAACTGTGGTGTAGCTGAACTCAGACTCTGAGGTCAGTGCTTTGGTACAAATTCTGTTTTTGCCACTTGTCAGCTTGTAGGGACAGTTCATTCATTTTGCTGTCTCTGTTTCCTTAATTGAATTGGGTCATTCTTTTCTCCTCCAGTGTCACTCTCATCATAATTCTAGGGAGTTTCTTAGAGATTTTTCATGCTCTAATGTGATAAATTTTTTGATCTTTCTTTCACTCTTCCTTGGCAATGTGTTTCATGTTCTATCCCTTATCATGTCCCTTATTGCAGACTTTTTCAATTTTAAACATACTACTTGGTATCCATTGTGTCTTGTTTTCTTTTGTTCCAAAAATAATTTGACCTGACATGGCCAACAACCCACTGGGCCTAACCCTTATTATCTCCTACCTTCCTGTTTTACTCTGCCTAAATTCTATGACCAGTCATTATAATAACGTTGTGATAGATCTTAAATTTCCTCTAGCTAGGCAGGGCATGTGTGCGTTGGATACTATTCCCTTTTGCCTCTTGAGATTTCCCTAGAAATGCTCTTTTTTTCCATCTCCTGTTCTCCTTCTCTACTGTATCATTCTTATCAGGATATAGATGTGTTGCAATCTGTCCAATAGGAAACCATTGTGTTTATTCCAATCTGTACTACCTCACTATTCTCGTAACTCCTTCCTTTTATGGAAAAAAAAAACTTGTTTAAAGTGTTTTTTATGCTTTATATTTTCAATTTTTCCCTCTTATTCTTTCTTGAACCCATTTTATCAAACACATAGAGCTTCACGGAAACTTTAAAAAAATTTTTTTTAAAAGAGATATTTGCTATAGGACACATGCACTCACCAGAGAGACAGAGACAAAGCAAAAAAATCATCTCCCGGGGGGATGGCTATGCTGCAATCCCTTCTCCTCCATTCTCTTTTCCAGATTTTGGGCAAGCATGCACACATGTCCAGTGTGAGTTTTAAGCCACCAAGCCCTGGACTCCAACCGCGGTCAATTACAGGAGAGTCCAGTGATGTAATCATTTCACCATCTGCTGTTTCGTACAGAAACTTTTCTTAAAGGCTAACCAATAGCTTCCATATTGCTGTTAAATCAGATGATAAGGTTCAGCCTACTGGCACAGTGAAGGTGAACTGACCTGTGGTGCTGGGAGCCACATGACTGACCATGGGGTTGAACCCCCAGGTCATCATGTTGGGTGCATGTTTGTGTGCTCAAGGTCCTGATGAACTATAGGGACAAGAAAAGGAATTGCAGCAATGAGGACTTGTTGAGGATATGTTTCTCTTTTTCTCCTCTCTCATGCATGCATACACACACTATCAAATTGATAAACTTAAAAACGTAAAGCGAACACTCTGAATTTCTCTTAAAAAAAAAAGAGATGAAATCTAGTCTCAGTCCTCCTCTAATTTGACCCATTGCAGCATTTGATATAGTTGATCACTGACTTGTTTATAACACACTTTGCTTCTATAATATCTGCCCACCTTGTCTATTTTTTTCTCCTATACCTCTGTCTTCTTTTTCTTTGCTAATTCTTTCTCATCTCCCTCTGACTTTTAAATGTGTCCTAGAGTTTAGTCGTTGAACTTCCTCTTCATCTGTCTCTAGCTCTTTCCTGGATGGTACTCTATATGGTGACAACTCCTAAATGTATATCTGTAAGCACTTTCCCTCTAGGGGGTGATTTCTCCCTTTCTTCTCTTTCTGTCTCTCCTCTGTCTCTCTCTCTCTCTGGCAAGTGCATGCACTCTATGGTAAAAATCTAAAAAAATAAAAAATAAAGAGAAGATGGTACCATGATGGACGTATTAGGAGTGAAAGTGCTTAACACGTAGTAGGTACTAAGTAAGTGTATTTCTTTTCTTCTGGTCTTTCAGATATTATGTTCCCACTGAGATCGAGTTTTGCCACATTAGGTATTCCTTGGAGGATAAGTTCTTTAATCCGTAATCATTGATATTCTTTTTATGAGGCTAACAGAAGAAAGCACTGCATTTTATTTTTCAACCACATTGTGTGATGATACAGTAATAGAATCATTAAAAGGTGGACATCTCTGATGCCTGTTGGTCTTTTTTGCTTTAGAAGATAGTACAGAGATTCTGCTAGACAGCTTTGAGACAGTTTTCTGTTACTAATTATCTTGATATTATGTCAAAGATTCTGTTATTCTTTCCTTTGGTTATGACAGACATGTGCCCCAAATGGAGGAAAAATTGACTTCAAACAACTTACTTTAAAAATAACTACTCATTAGTAGGCTTACTTATATTAGTTCAGTTTAATTTATTTCCTTAAAACAGATACATTTGTTTACAGATGGGACATGATTCTCTAGATCTTTCAGATGGGTAACTCTATTTCTAATAACACAAAGTCCTTAATCTAGTCAATCTGAGTTTTCAAATTAATTCTTCTTGCCTGACTTAAGTCTCCCTTATACTAGGTTTTAAAGTGTCACATTTGATTTTCAGACTTGAAAACTAGCTCCCTCCCAAACCTTCTTATTGTAAAGAATTCCAGGTTTGGTGAAATAGTATTAGCAGAAAGTTATTTCAGTCAGATCAGCCTTTCTCCTTTCTTCACATTGTGGTGATCTTAGAGGGGGATTGTAGAATAGGAGGAGATAATGGGAAACTGGAACTGTGAGATGTCCTTCATGGACAATGAATGGGAAGAAGATAGGAAGAGATTGATGAGCACGTGTAGGAAGTGGCTTTTGTAGGAATTCTCTCAATTCAAAGACTTCATTAAAACTTAGTCATTGTTGGGACCAGCAGTTAGCGTAATGGCTATGTCGCTGGACTCCCATGTAGTCAACTGCAGTTCGAGTCCCAGACCCGGTGGCTTAAACTCACGCCGGGCGTGTGTGCGTGCGTGCCCAAGATCCCATGAGGATAATGGAGGAGAAGGGATTGCGGCATGGCCATCCCCTCTGGGGGGTGATTTCTCGCTTTCTGTCTCTCTGTGTCTCTCTGTCTGTCTGGTGAGCGCACGCGCCCTATACAAAAACCTCTTCAAAAAAAAAAAAAAAACTTAGTCATTGTTTAGTAACTCATTTAAGCATTTTAAAAACAATGAAAACAATGGCCTTCTTTGTGGAATTAGGTCCATGTGCCATGTCTGGAGATAAAATCATAATGAACTAATGTTTATTTACAGTCACATATTCCATGTCATTCTCTGGAAGGTCCCTTTTCTTTTTTGAGTTTTCTACTTCTACCTAGGACTCATAGGCAAAAAATTCATGATAGCATTAAAACCCACATGGAGAAAATACAGAAAAGACTGGTACCCAATCTTAATGATAGTTGAGCTACTTAAAGGAGTTCTATACGACTTTACTTCATAATTTTTACTTTTCTGCATTTAGGTATTCTTTGGAAAGCTTGTTTTAATAAGTAATTTTAAAAATAAGTTCATATTTTACCTGAAAAGAAAAAGGAGCAAATGGATGCACCAAATACCCTGGTCAGTTTGTTTTTCTGAGCTATTTTTTTCTAGTCAAACATGATGTAGATCATCTTAAATATGGTATTTAACGCATTTGAGCATAATGTGGATACCAGAAATAAGATGTAAATTTTTTTGTCCTTTTTCCCCTTTGCTTTCTGTAGCACAGAAGAAAGTAATTTTAAAACAAGAACACTTAAAGTGTATTAATACTTAGAGGTTAATATCTCCTTTTCTTTAGCTAGGTGACTGCATAGTACTTAAATGTTAATGAAGAGGCAACAAAGTATAACCCTCCAACATCATCCCATAATCTAATTTTAAGTAGAAGGTATCTGTGTATTTTCGGTTCTGTTTTTCAAAAAATTACAGTTACTACTATATGTACTTGTTTTATGTTACATAAACTTTTAACATAAAACTTAATATTTAGATGTTATTTGATTGGGAGATCTCGGCCAAATTAGGCATAGGTTCCTTATTATAAAATAAAAAATAACAGTAATTGCCTATATTAAATGGAAATGTTAAAATTGATAAAGCTTGAGAATATTTTAGCAGTTATATATATGCAAAGTAAATACCATGATTAGTCTTAGATGACAGTCCCCGGTTTGAGAAAAAAGTTTGGTTTGACATCTAGTAATTGAGGAGTTTTTCTTTCTTTCTTTCTTTTTTTTTCTCTTGTTTTCCATGATACTACCTTGTTTCAGCAAAGCATATACGCATCAGGTGTAGAGGACATTGGTTTTCACACGTTAAAAAAATAAGTAGAGCAGATAGGTACCTAAAAACATACTTTTATAAAAGGAATAAAGAACAGTTTAATAATTCCACACTCATTTCTCTATTTGATTGCTAAATATTTAAAAGTTTTTCAGTTATGGTCTGTCGATCTCAAAGAGAAAGTATGATTATCTAAATATACTTTTTAAAAAAAGGAATTGCTTGCTGAGCTCAGTGCTGACTGTAAAACATTGCAAAATTGTGTGCATCTGCAAGTTAAAACCATGATATACAGCAGGCTAAAATGGAACAGAATTTGATTGCAGACCTGACAATGGTTTTCTTGGTTTTATCACCAGAAACATATCCTGTTGGAATTATGCTCAGGATTTTTTGAACAGTCCATGAAAGGTGACAGGGATATTAATCTCCACTTCAGCCCTGGCAACTTCACTCAAGTCCTTGGCGTTCAGAATCAGGAGATAAGCCGGTTTTTGTCCTGTTCCAGGGCTCACCACCACACTCAAAACCACACCTGTTAACCAAGTAAATAAGGCAATTCTGCTGTTAATAATACCTAGGCCCTTAGGTTAAATGTAAGTGAAATAATATAGGAGATATTACACTGACAAAGAAAAACCATGTGACTCTTCCACTCCCTGGCTGTGTGACCACCTGAAGAAGTCTGTTCAACTCCTGATGTACCCTTGACTATGGACTTCAGTAAGGGAGTGAATGTGTCTGTCCTGTTTACTGCTGTACCCTGATATGCTACTACAAAGACTAGAACATAGTAGGTGCTCATTCAAGGCTTATTGAATAAATGGATCTGTTTTTACCTATCACACAAGAATATAACATCTGCTCTATATACTGTAAAAACTATGTGATGATCAAATGAAAAATGTATATTAAAATTTTCTAAAACAGTAAGGGGTATTATAGCTCTAATTTCCAAGACCTGTCCGGAAGCTGGTTTCTTTCAAACAAAATGAGAACAAGTCTTTTGCAGTTTTGATTGGATGGGCTGTCTATGTAAAATTGTTTAGTGTGAAGTGGCTCCACATGTCTTTCTCTCATTTTTCGGTGGTTTCCATATCTTCATCTCAGACAGTATAATCTACCTCCTGGTTGGAGCTAATCAATAATTTACCAAGACCAATGCTTTGTAATTGAGTTACTATATTATAAAATATGGCTCTGGATCCATTTCTAGCCCCAGCTTACTACAAGAACAAAGCAAAACTGCAATTACAGAGCTGCATTCTCATTCTCCCTGATCTGCACAGTACTTCGTTTCTCTTCCTAGAGCTCTATCCCTTTTCAGAAATTCATCCTGGTCAGAAAAGACAAAAACCTAGAATGTATGCTGCCATTTCTTCCTCCTTGCCCTCATCTAGGATAGACACTGATGTTCCTTAATGATAGCAGATAGGTCTTTAGTATTTTTTTTTTCTAATAATGATCAAAAATACTTGACCACAAGATGAAACTTATTTTCAAATGAGTTTATGTTCTTTAGTGATGTCCCATTTGTATTACAAAGGCTAATTCCTGAACTCTGGGGAGTAAGCAACCTAACTTTTCGCCTAATGAGCTGACACACGGAACTCCAGTAAAAGGAGAGTGTTTTAGATATATCCATTGCTTTCATTACCATCATCTTCTTCCAAGGCATCTGGGTGAGAGACAAAGATAGGTTCCGAGGGGTATGAATCAGGTTCTTGCCATACCCAAGTTTCTTTAGTTTTGACATTCAGCTTACAGAGCTGCTCGTAAGAAAGAAGGATAAATCAATTAATTACTCATTGTGTTTTGCTTGACTCAGAGCACTATTCTGATATTAATAAGGTGGATTAATTACCCTGTCTGGAACGAAGTGATTCAAGCCAAGTCCGTATGCGAATGTATACGGTTTCCCACCATACTTCTGGTAATTGATTTGAGGAAACTCAAATGCTGCAAAATAGAGCACACATGTAGGAAAACTCAGTTAATCTTTAAATGGAACATTTGTTCCATTTAATCTCATTGTGTGAGGTGTTGTCTAGATCATCTTACCTTGGCGAGGCCCTGAAAAGAGAACCTCGGGTTCCAGCCAGATGGTTTCATCACTACACAGAATTGCAGTGGCAGTTGTGTTGGGGAGCGTGACTAAATTCTTGCCTGTGTCAGCCTAAGAAATAAGATAACAGAAGCCTCAGTGAGCAGGAAAGGAAATTCAAGCAGCCATAAATGCAAACTTCCTGAGTTTTATCTCTTGAGTTTTTTCTTAGGTTAACATGCCCGGAGCAACAATGCAGAAAACTATAAATGAGGGAGCTCTGGCAGGCAACTGAGTAGTGCCTGTGTCAGTCACTGGCTGTGTATCCCTCAGAAAGTCATGGTACTATTAGACCCTCAATTTCCTCACTGGCAAAGTGAGACCATCCTCAAAGAAAATGTAGTTGCTATGAAGAAGGGCCTCTGCAAAAATAAAGAAAGAAATAGTCCTTACCTCCACTATTCAGAACAAAAAGAACAATGAAGACTTCAATGTTAAAATAATAAAAGAAGAATCTCTGGGTACAGCCAGAGGTGTGGTAGCTAAAGTGACTGTGTCCCACATAGCTAACTGTGTTGTTCAAGCCTTGGACCAGGCAGCTTGAAAAACATGCTGGGCACATGTGTGTGCATGCTCCAAATCCTGAACAGAGAAATGGAGGAAAAGGGATTGCAGTATAGCCATCTCCATGTTGAGGAGTGCTTTCTCGTTTTTCTTCTCTCTGTCTCTCTCCTGCATGTGTATTCCCCATCTAGAAAATTAAAAAGAAAAAAAAAATCTCTGTTACAGTTAGGATATATTTTTGATTTGAAAACATATAGTTACATTGTCAACCCCATTATATATAAAATTTCACTGGTTTTTTAAAGTTTTGTTTATTTATTTTTTAAATGATGATTTCTGGTTTATAAATAATCATTGTATATCTTTGTGGTGGACAGCATGGTTTTTCAAAGAGTGCATACAGTGAGAAATGATAAAATTAAGAATAGGGACTAAATGTTTTCTAAGATCTGTTGTTACACATAAATGGCTTTCCAGATTATTTTATGCAATAATGACTACTATGCAGCCTTTTAAGAACCATGCAGCCC